ATATATATATATATATATAAAATATATAAAATATATATAAAATATATACATCGAGATATACATATATATCAATGAGAAGTATAGTTTTGCGACTAAGAAGAAATAGCCGAAAAGTCCCGACGCAAGAGTCGCTTCTGCACGTCCATCAAGTCGTCCTTCCCAAATCCTTTCGATTGTCCTGAGTGATCCAGCAACGGCTTAGGTTAGCTACGAGCGAGAACAAGATGCGGTAGAGACCGAAGCTTTACGTTTCTTTTACACACGCTACCATTTGTTATTTTTCCACAGTATCGTCAGTGGACGCAGGAATTGGACGCCGGACAGGTCCCCGAAGGATTGCAAGCCATGCTTGAGGAACTCGGCTCGTTGAAACGGGAGGTGCCCGGTAACAACTAGGAAGACAAGGAGACGGAAGGATAAGGAAGTCACGTGGAGATCGAGCTGTTCCATTTATCTCGTTCCCGATCAAACCTTACCCTACCCCCCTCCTTCTTCAACCATAGTCGAGCTTACTTTTCGTCTTATTCTCCTCTCTCTTCTCTTTCACTGTTCCTTCGAGGCGATAGGGAATAATTGGTGAGGTCGACATTTTTTTTTTTTTTTTTTTTTTTCTACGTCACTCACCGCTTTTATCCAAGAGTCGGCGACTCTCTATCGGACGAACCGCAAGAAAAGGAGAATCCTAGCAATTTTTTTGAGAATAGGTCCGCATCCATTCTCGCAAAAAAAGAAATTCTTCTTTATTATCCTTTCCCCTCCCTTCCCGATTCCTTCACGAAAGACGACGGAATTCCCCGATTACCTCGTTACTTCAAGCGTTATTTTTGTACGTACGTTTTTTTGTTATATATCGTGATTCGTTAAGTTAAAGCCATCATCTTTATTCTTGTTAATTAATAAGGACGGTGGTTGATCGGTTGCTCGGCTGTCTACGGCCTCACGCTTGGAAATGTATCTCCCTCGCACGATTGTTAACACTTTGAGAAAGTAATTTATAGTATATATTGTATCATTGTTATATACTTCGGAAGAGGAGAGAAAACGGTCTCGTTGTGTATACCGTAGAAAAGAGTTTATTATATTTCAGTATTGTCTGTTTGAAAGAAAGAGCGTCGTTGCGGGAGCTTTTCGATTTTTTTTTGACCGTTTGCCGATTCGTTTTAAAAATTTTACCGACACACGGTACCTGTGTGTATCGTACCGTGTAATCATCGTTTTTGTACAAATTAGCGTCATTACGAACAACAGAGTCTAATAGTCGAATAAAACCGATATTTTTCGATGAAAAACAAGGAGAGAAATTGCTTTTTTTTTTTCCGACACACACGTATATACCAATCCATTTCTTCCTTCAGTTGCCTGACAAAAATTCCTGCGCGGAATTCCTATGCAAATATCGAAATTTTTGATCCCTTCGAAAATATGGCGTTTACGTCACGTATAAGGATATTATACTTCCGTTCGGGAGCGAAAATGCGAAATTTTTTTAACGTTGCGCGGAAGGCGCACGCGTGACCGGCGGCGTTATTTCGAAATTCCATTATGGCCACTGCGATCTCTCGTCGCGTCGCGTCGCGCTTTTACGCAACAAGAATTTACATATTTTGACGTGAAATATGTCGGGCTATGAAATCTCTCTCCCGCTCTCCCGTTTACGCGGATTACGTCGCGTAGTACACATCGTCGATAACATTTCTTGCGTTTATTCGGCAATTCGTCGAGAAAAAAGAGAACAAAACAAAATCGTTGGACGGAGAATCCGCGCGCGGATTTGCGCTCGGAAATTCGAAACAAAGTTTGTTAACGCAATTTTGGTTCCGCGAGCAATAATCGCGCGAGCTCAACGCGCAAATAATATTTGCGACACGATTCCCACGTTACACAGCGGCGATATCGATTCACTTTAAAATGTTGCAAAAAAATAAGAGAGGATGCAATTTCTTTCTCAGCGACGTCAAATATTATGTGTACTTTTTTTTTTTCCCCCGATTGTTGTGTGCAAATTATTGCTTTCCGCTAGCTTGGCAATATACACGGTAGTGAGAATCAGATGATGAATATCAGATCGATTTATTCAAATGTTCCAGTTTTATGCCCCGCTGAAAATGTTTCGAAGCGCGATATGCCCGCGCGCGCGAAAGTTTGATTTCCTGGTTTTCGAAAACCGTCAAAGATACGAACAAAAAAAAAAAAAAAAAATAATATAAACGCGGAAAATGCGAGGATTTAAATTTTTTATGCGCGTAGTTCTCGAATGTGTGTAAAGTTTTTACAACAGGCTACATCGTTTGTATATAAAAATCACACGCCACGAAACGACGTGGAATTAGACTTTTTTATACCGTTACAATTAAGAATCGGATTCGACGAATACGTAATTCGTGCATTCGCAATGCGGATGCGTGCAACTCTGAGGAGAAATCTTACTCAGCTGGCGCGAGAAAACGAGAAGGTTCGAAAAAAAAAAAAGTTCGCCATTTTTCTCACCATGGGCCGCGGCGGCAGTAAATTAGGGTGTTAGAAAAAACGGGGCGGTGTGTGTAAGTTTGAAATATATACCCCGCTCCGTAAATATCAAATTGTACTAAAAAAGTATACACCGAGTAAAGAACCTTCTTGTATTGTTATTAAAGCTTGGGGGTTGTGTGCGCAGTGCATAATACTTTTTTCCGGGCGCACAACGGCCTTAGTTTGCGACAGCGTCCGGAGATGATTATTTTTTACGGTGCTTGTGCGAATGTGAAATAACTTCTGAATAAGATTATGTTGTAAGTTTAGTACCGCGCGCGCGTTCGATAAAATCTACCATATATAGAATATCAATTAATTTCAGCGTGTTCTAATTACTTCGAGAGTTCGGTAAAAAAAATATAAGATAAAAAAAGATTTGTGTTTCTGAGATATATTTAATTTTTTTTTTTACAGAAGCTTTTTTGTCTCTTCACACGATGTGGAAACCGAGAATTACGTTACGTATATCCATCTCGCGTTGTATCTTCGCAGAATTAAGGTTGTATTCAGGGTAAGATCTCAGTCAAAAGTTTAAGAAACATAGCGTAAACCAAACCTATTTTAATATTTAGATAATAATTGTTTGCTGGAATAGTATTATTTGTACTAAAATAAGTTACAAAAACTATTTATTGTACTTTTAATAACTACGGAAAAGTTTTTACGTATATTTTGTGCCCTTTTGATGTTCACTTTTGATATTTTTGAGTAGGATTATACCCTACGTGCAACGTAAGATAAATAAAAAACTGGAAATATATTAATCATAAAAGGTTAGTAAAACGTAACAATTGATGTATAAAATTACAAATATAATTGTTTTATGTATATTAAATATATATTTTTATTACTTTTAACAAAATATAAATTTATATTTTATGTGATATTCTCGAAATGACTATTTTTTTCAAGTGGAATTTGTTTTTAAGATATTTATTAACAACTGCAAAAAATTTCAAAAAATTACGGCATATCTACGTCTACAGTTATTTTGTAATTTATATCAGAATATCGTGAAATCCCATAAGGACTCGTGTTAAATTAAAATCGTACTAAATTTTTAACAAGGCTCGCAAAGAAGCTGAAATTTTGCATAATTTCTTTTTTTTAATATTATCTTCTGACTGACAAATTTCGAATAATCTGGCATATCTTTTATCTTACTCTGAATACAACCTTAAGTTTAAAACGGAAGTTCTTTTTCGCGTCGGATGCTGTCAGTTGCCTAGTTTCATTTCCCGCGTTGTTGTTCCCGCTAGATCTCGTTCGAAGCTCGTTCGAACCCCTCGTATATAGACGTAGACGACTTCCTCCCCCGCGAGAAGCATTAGCAGCACTTGCGCGGATCGTAAACGAGCCAGTAGCCGTATCCGCATACGCATCTGCACGCGTTTCCCTTGCCCGGAGCAGATAATACGACACGCAATTCCGCGCGTCATAAACCGCGCGCGGGCATTCAATTTCGCGTTGCCGCGCGCGCGGAAAACTCGCGCGCGAACGAACGAATGGAGGAGGAACGGACACAGAAACGAACGCGCGCACGTAGAGCTCATAAAAGCGCAGCGTGGCATAGTGTTACCACGTGAAAAACAATGGCTATTCCCGTTTCGAGATATATGAAAATAAGGAGAAAAAATATGACAGCATTTTCTTCGGCGGGGCGCAAAAAAAAAAAAAAAAGAAACACTCGCGGGGCCTAGTTCCCTACCAGTTTTGCGAGGTCGCGACGCAACAATAAATTGCGAGAGAACGATTCGCGCGCGTCGTTTATATACGCGTCGCGATATGATATTAACAAATATAAAAAAAAAAATTAAAAATTATCTAGCGTATAAAAAGTTGCGGTAAAAAACTAACATTCTTAAAGCATCTTTAGCGAAACAATAGTTTTATTATTTTATCAAGAGACCATAGATACTTTTGTCTCATTAAAGAAGATTGTCGTCGACGTATAGTCGATAAAGCGGCGAGGAGAAGAATAAGTAAAACGGAAGCTATTTTCCGAGACGAGCGACGCGCAAAGCCCAAGAACGTGAGCTGGGAAACGACAAGCGACTCCATCCCTTGGCGTCTTTACCACCGCTCCTCTTTTTTCTTTTCGTTTTCTTTTATTTGCTCGAAGAGACGCGCCTTCGAGGGGATGATACCTCGCGAGGTATTATCGCGTCACTGACGTTATTCCGGGCAGTTGAGATATTGCATATAAATATGCAGATCATAATAATCGATCTGTGTTGCGAGAGATGTACGTGTACTTTTCGCTCCGACGAACAATCGACAAACACAGCGTGCGATTTCCCAAGATTTGAATAATTTATTTACGCACATCACGGTTCGATGTTGCTTACACGGAAACAAAAGTTTTGCTGTTGCACGGTCAGCAAGAAAAATGGTTGACCCTACGAAAGTTTTTGTTTCATCAACAAAATGTTTTTGAAACAAAACAAAAATTTTAATAAACTTAACAAATGTTTTTTTGCTGGCCATACAGCGACTAATTTCTTGCTATTCTTAGCAAATCTTTTTTTTCCGTGTATATAACAAATGCAAAAATAAATTAAAGTCAACTTTGTATTATATATTTTCAAAAACTGAAAATGAGATGAGTGAAGGAAATTTTTTTAGAGAGAAATATGACGAAAATATGCGTTACTATATATATATTTTCACGCGTGTGCTGTGTGAAAGGATTGACGCTTTTTTTTTAAAACATGTCGGACGGTGTCAATTGTCTTATGTAAAATACATGTGTTCGGTCCGGTCGAATTTTATGTTATCCGAAAATATTCTCTTCGGAGAGAGAAATATTTTTCAAACATTAAACGAACGTGTTTGCATTCGCGAAATTTGTTTTTGTTGTGATGATACGTTGGGTTCTCGTTGGTTGAAAGATGCAAATATATATTGCGTATATAAAATGTTGGAAACACGCTCGCGATCATTTATGAAATATAACGCTCCCGCATAAATTATGTATGAAATTATGTAGGCTTACGCGGGTTGGATGTTTTGCTCTGTCTTATTTATGAAGCTTTATACAGCTGTGTCTTCTCTTTCAGAGCTATCGGGCATAAAATAAAGCTTGCGGATATCTTATATATATATATATATATATATATATATATATATTATTATATACGTGAATATATCGTCTGAATAACAAAAGATCGCTGTGAATAATTAAACAGTTTTATATTTTATAAATTTTACAGAATTCGCGACGTATCAAATCTCACAAAAAAAACGTCAGTTTTTTAATTTTTAAAATCGAATCTCAAAAAACATTTTTGCGGAGACTTTTAAATTTGAAACTTTTAAACTCGCGAATTTGTCTTGTCGACAGAAAAGTTGTATTTGTTTTTTTCTAAAAAAAGAAATCTTTTTTTTTTTTTTATTATTCCTACGTCTTTTCTCCCACGTCGTGTCGTTCACGTCACGTATCTTCTTCTCGATTTACGTTAATTTTAATGCGATACCGCCGCTTTGGAAGAAGAAATAGCTTTTATTCCGAAAATTGAATTCAATTACAGATCAATCTATATTCTCATCTCTAATTTAAACGGAGTAGTAGCGGTTTCTTTCGCAGAGAGCAATCACTTACGCGCTCATCACAGGCCGAACGGGATTAAATCGAGAGAGAGAGAGAGAGAGCGGTTGTGCTGATTCAATCACTTTGCGATATATAATATATTCACGAGATCGATTCTCGATGAATCGAGTATGTGTGTGTGTGTCTTTATGTATCTTACCGCTTCGTGATAACTACGGTTATATATATAGGA